GTGTGTGTGTGTGTGTGTGTGTGTGTGTGTGCACTTTGGAGGATGATGGTAAACAAACCTAACCTTCAACCAGAACCAGTAATTTACCTTAACTTCCTTTTTCTAATTACCTTTTTCTGCATATGCATGTGTTTGTCTGTGTGTGTTTGTGTTGACCTCGGTGTGTGTTTGCGTGTTTCAGGTTATTGAAACAGTCAGTGCCGTGGACAAAGACGAGATGGCTCACAGGCAACACTTCACATTCAGCCTCGCTCCCGAAGTCGCCCACAACCACAACTTCTCCCTGAAAGACAACCGAGGTGCATGACCTTTAAATTTATATTTTTCACAGTTTCCAATTATTTTGTCATCTCTTGCTTCTCTCTTACTTCTGGTTTCTAGCGTTTCCTAGCAGCCGATCTCTGTGTGTCGTCATCTCTGGTCTCCCTCTCTCCCGCCCTCGCCCGTTCTCACTCAGATTAGATCAAAGCATAACCAGATGGAGGCTTAAAGTAGCTTGTAGGGAGCAGCAGGTGCTCCGACTCTCTCTCACACACACAAACGCACACGTCCTGCGGGCTGCATTAATTGCGGTGGGGTCCCTGTCCGTCTGTACATATATCTTAGGGGGGCACCTGATTGAATTACGCTTTGTAAGCGCTGGAAGAGAATTTTAAAAGAAAAGAAGAGAGGGAGAGAGAAAGAAAGAAAGAGAAGGAGGACAAGAGGCTGTAAACTGTGTTGAGCTGAGGTTTAAATGATCAGCATGAAGGAAAGTACAGGATTCAAAGGGGTTTCCTGGTACTACACAAAAAAATGCAAGGAGTCTAACTTGAATCCCCATTTATCACAGACAGACGACAGGATGATAGATCAATAGATAGATTAATAGATAGAACGATAGATAAATGAAACAATAGAACCATGGTTTAGGTAATCGTGGATAAGTTGCTGTATGAGTCCAAGCTGATTAAAAGTTTAAACACATATTTTAGACAATTTCTGCTGCATGTACCTACTTTCATATTTCACTACTTCCCCATCATTCTACCTGCTGATCTATCTATGCTAACTACGTCTATCTGTCTCTCCGCAGACAGCACAGCCAGTGTTTATGTGCTGCGTAAAGGATTCAGCCGTATCACCCAGGACGTTTACTACCTTCCCATTGAGATAAACGACAACGGCTCACCGCCTCTGAGCAGCACCAACACGCTGACCATCAGAGTGTGCTCCTGTGACAGCAAAGACACCATCCTCTCCTGCAACGTGGAGCCCTACGTCCTGCCCGCGGGTCTCAGCACCGGGGCACTCATCGCTATTCTGGCCTGTATTGTCATTCTGCTGGGTAAGTTCCATTTTTTTTCCACTCAACTTGATTTTTCATGCTGCACGTGCCTGTAATCGAGGAAATCCTCGGGCTTGTGTCGGGTTCGGACACAGAAAATGAGTTCGGATAAGAAAATTCTGTCCCGAGCCGCAGTCTAAATAAAGAGCTCCCACTGGCAGTAACAGAAATCAGCTCTTATGCAATGAGTTGAAACTTGGTGTGACTGAGTCAGGCTGTCCACCTCCACGTCCTCGTTTCCGCTGAATCGTTTCAGCTCTTCTTAAGATTAGAGGTCATACGTGTTCCAGCCGCTCGCGCATCGCTTTCACACCTCAGCCTCGCATCATCACTTAGTGTGGGCGCTTTGCACGAGGACCAACAATGCTTCTGTTGTTCTGTTTTGACTTTTTTTGTGAAAATGTGTACGACTCGCTTTCTGTAATTTGTTAATTGTTTCTGAAGTCCTTAACTGTGTCTCCAGCTTTAATTTCTCCCTCAGCCCACTAGTTAACCCACGTCGCAGTTATCTGCCGCCCTGTTTTCATGCACTTGCTCACAGTGCGAGTGTACACTTGCACTGTGAGGACGACACAACCGAGAACTCTTTAAAAAGCTGAAATGTTGATAACCCCCTGCAATTAAAATAGCGTGTGTGTGTGTGTGGCACGATGATTACATTAATTAAACCGTCCGAGGTCTAATTACACCAACTCCCACGGTGCATACTAATTATCTAACGCTCGCTTTTCTACTTTTCAACAAAGATTGTGTGCGGATTGTTACGTAATCTCTGAAGGCAGAGCAGTTTTGTAACGGTGCGTCTTTCTTTGGCAGCTATAGTGGTGTTGTTTGTTGCACTGAGGCGTCAGAAGAAGGAGCCATTGATAGTGTTTGAGGAGGAGGACATCAGGGAGAATATCATCACTTACGATGACGAGGGAGGCGGCGAGGAGGACACGGAGGCTTTCGACATCGCTACACTGCAGGTATGAAGAGGGGTGGTAATAAAAACCCTGCTATCTCTATATGCTGTTTTTTATTCCACTTGTATCTTTCAGTTTATGCCGATTATAAAATGCTCATACAACCCACAATTCTATTTTACATTACGTTTCTATTTCTTTTGACCAAGATGGATCAGCTGCCAGTGAATAAATACACATTTCACTCAGCTTTCCCCTCCTTTCTCTCTGTCTCTGTTCATCCTTATCTGAGTGATAGACTCTAAAGCCAGGTGCTTTCCTTCTTGCTTTTTCAGAACCCAGATGGTGCTAATGGTTTCCTGCCAAGGAAGGACATCAAACCAGAGCTTCAGTATCCCATCAGGCCCGGCGTTGGCCACACTGGAGCCAACAGCGTCGACGTCGATGACTTCATCAAGACTCGAATTGCAGAGGCCGACAGCGACCCGACCGCACCCCCCTACGACTCCATTCAGATCTACGGCTACGAAGGCAGAGGATCATTGGCTGGTTCATTGAGTTCCCTCGAGTCTGTCACAACAGAGTCTGACTTGGATTATGACTATCTGCAGAGTTGGGGGCCGAGGTTTAAGAGGCTGGCGGATTTGTACGGGACCAAAGAAGGCTCCATTAACGATGCCGATGACGGTGAAGACTCTTAACAGTGGTCTCACTGAGTGGACGCCCCCCGATTTCTGATTTACTGATTCCATGAGGATTTGTTAACTGAGGCTTAACACCTCCCAGTTGTCGGTTGTTACCAACTGATCCGTTCATGCCAATCTGTCAATGGACGTTAACAGCTCTTCCTTCCCTGGCACCTCCTCGGTCCTCCAAGACGGTTTGTTGACGAACAAATAATGAACGCTTGGACTCAAACCTCCCCCCGGTTCCCTCCTTTACCCTCCTATATCTCTTTCCTTCTCTCTATTTCTACAGACTTGAGCATTGTAGGGCTGGGAGATTTGTTATGTCACCATTTGTCTGTTTGTAAGTAAATTGCTGGGAGAAAACAATGTTGCTGTATGATCAAAATTACTTGCTTATAGCAAAAATGTTTATTCGAGTTCCTAGATACTTTTGTGGACTGGATTCACCTCCTTCCTCTGAAAGAGATTTTAGTCCCTTAGCAGGTTCCTGAGTGGTCTCAACAGGTCACATGGTAGCTCTCTTTGTGATGTATGTAAAAGACATGCTAGAAAAAGAGAGGAAGCGAGAGATAGAGCAATTTAAGAGAGAAAGTTAGCGTGGGATCCAGCAACTGCCTGTTTTTATGGAAAAGAAACGAAAGGTACCAATGCGTCGGTAGACTCGAACAAAATGCTTTCTTTTCAAACGTGTTGTTGTGTGTGCAGAATTCAGCAGGTACTGTGATTTCGATGGCGTGACAGACTCTGGGTTGTTGATACTTTGAAGATGCTCGCAGCATCCTCACAGTATGGTGGCCTTATAATAAATAAACAACAACTCCAGGGGTAAACACAACAAGAGGAACAATAGAGACCGCTAGCTTCAGTAGCTACACACAGACAAACGAACACGCGAGGATCGAGTATCTATGAAAATGCTCCTCACATACCTGTTTTTTGTACTCCCCAAAAGAGACAAACTAAAACACGGATTCAATTTTAAAACTGTGGATGATTCTTTGTTTTCATTCTTCACCGCAGAGAAGACATGACGCCTCGTCCGCCCGGTCCACCCCGTACACGCCCCCGTGTCCCCTCCCATCAACAATCACTTCCCATTACCGAGTCCACCAATGAATGATCACACGCTCATTCGGAGTCCACCAATGATGATCAATCACAATGAGTAAAAACCTGTGAGCTCTAAAAATCGCCTTAAACTTAATGGACACTCTTGCAACGCAGTGCATTCTCCATTTTTTTTTCTTCTTTTCCGTTTCTTTTTGTAACTTGAAAAGTATATTCAGAAAGCAAACTATTCTCCATGTTAGGTATGTACAGAGCAATGTGCAGACATGTGGTAAATCACTCTGAGGATCCAACTTGCACCTCGTGCACTCTTAAAGGTTCAGTGTGTGGGATTCGGTGACATCTAGTGGTGAAGTTGCATGTTGCAGCTGAACACCCCTCACCTCACCCTCGCCTTCCAAACATGACAGAGAACCTGTGGTAGCTTCAAAAAGGTTTTTTAGTTTGTCCAGTCTGGGCTACTGTAAAAAAAAAACATGGCGGGCTCGCTCCCCGATGTAAATATAAAGTATTTAAATATAAAGGGCCCATTCTAGGGTAAAGAAAACAACAATTCGTACAATTTAGATGAAACACACAAGTGGAAACATCACTAGGATTATTTTCTATATTTAATTTCAACCAATAGATCCTTTCACCTCAATCTTACACACTGGACCTTGAGAATATAGAAGGAACTGTTTCTGCCAGCGTGGTAAATGTCGTCCGAGAAAATGTGCATTGTGTTTATTTTCCCAACACCAGCTATGTTGGCAGCGACATCTGTTGTATCAACACGTGTTGCTCTTTGAACATAAAACGTGCACATCGGAAAAATTACACAAAGTGTGTTTTGTTGGAGCCACGTACACGAAGGGGCGGAAACCAGAACATCCTTTTTGAGCATGAAGGTTCTAGTTCAATCTCTTTTTTTTTAATGTTAT